GCCGGCCGAAAACGCCAGGGGTTCGGCTGGTTTGGCTGGCCCCGAAGGCTGGGAAAGTGCGAGACCGGACAGTTAGCTGCACCCACATTTCACAAGTCTCGCTTGCCAAAATACAGCATTTCGGTTTCATATGGGGGAAAAAAAAAACCAACAAAAGCAGCGTTCACCCAGCTGCGTCAGCAGCTTCTGCTGCATAGCTGAGGCTTTCACACTGGGCTCTGCAGTCGCTTTGATGGTATCTTTGCACCGCACGTTGCATTTTCATAACAACCTTGACCCAGTCTTCTAAAACGTTAGCTCTTTATCAAGAGGCAAGTTAACCACCGCGACCATCTACTGGCTGAGCTCCTGCACTTTGACATTTGCTTCTCCCTCCCCACGCCCCCCCCTCCGAAATTGTTTTCCCATTCCTGACCCTTTTCCAGTTGAGCCAGAGAATACAAAAAGTTCATTGTTTTGTCACAAAACCTGGGAAGACAAGCAAGAATGAGATTCTTTATTATTACAAGACTTCTAAAGCCTTTTCAGACCACTGCGTGTTTGTGTATGTCTGCTAAGTGGACCTTAACTGCTATATACAGCGGGTGTTCAGGATAATTTACTAGGCTGGACTATTTCTCCTCCGTGAAGATGTTCCCCTATTGTCCTTTTTATTTTCCCCTTCAGATGGCAGATAAAGGATTTTACAACCTTGTCTTCTGTATGTTTTCCTAAAAGCTCTCAAAACTGATATTGCTGGGAAAACAACACAGCGTTTATCTGTACTAACAGCGGAGGCAATGTCAAACGTGTCATGTTCTTTGGCAAAGTACCCAGCTTACGTAGGAAACGGGTTCTGAAGTGGTAATTACGCTACTGGTTAATCATTTTTAAAACCCAGCGTCACGGGCCTTTGCTGTCTGTTTAGTTTTTGCCTATGGGATAGCTTGACAGGGGACTGAGGGATGGTGGGACGGTCCTACAGCACCGGCTTGGAGGCACCTGCCCCTGTCTGCACACCCAGGTGCTCAGGCTTCTACTCCTGGAAATCTGGGCTCCAGCAAAAAAAATTACAAAGGAATGGTAAATGCTGGGAGGAAGGACTGAGGAAGACTACCCCAAGGATACGGGCCAATTAGAAAATGAGGATAAATGGGTGTAACGCCATGGAGCTGGCGTTATGGCCGCTTCCACCCCTGAAGCTGTGCTCCAAGGGGCTCTCTGCATGGACAGAGGTGACAACTCACCCTCACGCTACACAGAACCTGTGCGTGGGAACACACGATCCCAGGAAAGGGGCTGCCGGGGATACTCACGGGTGAAGCTGGGCGTTAAGGCAGAGCTGGGCTTGGGCTCTCCACGGGAGCTCTCCTCGTCCGACTCCCAGCCTGAGGATGCCGAGGAGGAGAGGGGGGAGCAGGAGGAGGAGGAGCAGTAGGTGCTGTCATCCCCCAGCTCTTCGTACTTCCTCTTCAACACTCCGCTCATGGTGACGCTGTATTTTTCATATAACTGGAAAAAA